ATTTTTCATTATTGCAGAATTCTGATTGTTATCAGAGCACTACAAACTCAAACTAGATAAAACTTCCACACAGAAAATTGCATATGAGAAACACATCTATATGCTCTTTAAATATAACAGGGGAAAGTATTGGCTACAAAAATAAAACATTTACAGTACTCCATTGGCCACTTTTTACAGCTAAAAACTAAATCCATCATTAAATCAAAGTCTGATTTGCATGAACACTGAGCTCTTGTGACTGCAAATTATTTGAGTGGTAACTGGGATAATCAACATCTCTGACAATCTGTTCTTCTTTACAACTCTAACTTTTAGTACCTGTATTAAAAAAAAAAAATCTAATAACCACACCCACACAACCAACACCCTGCTCACCCTGACTCCCCACAAAAAGAGCCCAAACCCCAACACATTCAACTTTCAAAACTTGCTGTGCCATCTTACTCTCAGTGTAGCAGACACGTTCAGCCCCTCAAATCAAATTCCACTTGTTGCAATTGCTACGTATTGGGGAAGATTTTTTTAATCATGCTTCTATATCAACATACTTGAGTCTTAGTATCTGACTTACAAACACAGGTAAAAAACAGTATATGGAATAAATTATTTTGGCAAGGGGATTTAAACACAGAATGAAGTCTTAACTGTGTTAAAGCTAAGATTAAACAGAATCTGAACCAGACCCTAAAGCTCACTCTTTATCACAAAAAAGCCCATCTTCATGGCTTTATAGAAAAAAACCCCAACTCTTCTGAAATGAAAATATAAAAAGCCCTCATACATCCAGCACATACCACAGATAATGTAGTTTCCAAAAAGCTTCTTTTAAAACTATTAAATGCTTATAATGTCTCCTTCAGAGCTGAGACTGAACCTAAGGAATCCACTACAAAAGCCAATGCTTTCAAAAACTTAAAACAAAACACAGGAACCCAAATTCTGAATAAAAACTCCTTATAACTTTTAACAGTAGGAAAATACAAGACTCCTTTCTACATGGTCATGCTCAGATACAGGTATGGGTTCAATAGGGTCAAAGCTACACTTACACAGAAGCTCACGTTGGGGAAAATCATCACCACACAATTTGAGATTAAGAGAGACATTAAGGAAAAGTTAAATATAATCACATTTAAACACAAATCTATACATGTTTTTTCATGTATAGGAAAAAGCAAGAAAAGCAGTAAGTATATTGTAAAGCACTGTGCATAACCATTTGAAATTTAAATCACATCAATGCATTCTCTGTCGAAGTCTATCTAAATCCTGACTCCAGTAAAAAGCCCTGGTTGGTGTCAGCTTCACTAGATGACTCAGAACAAATGAAAGGCAGGATTAAATCTTCACTTCTGAGCTGATCAGAAGGGACCTTGTCCATCAGGGACAACAATGTAACGTAAAAGAAAAAGTAATAATACAACGTTTGATTTGCGGAGTTACACTCACTGTGCCAGAAAACGTTAACGTTACGGATTCAAAATAAAGTTAACTCAGCCCACTCCTCATCGTGGATATCTAATGGCATGTTTTTACAACTGTTTGTAATGTACATGTCAGATGGACTAAGTCTTTCTTGTGAGTCACACTGTAACCACAAATCTATGCCTGAACGTCAACTTTGCCTTCTCCCCCACCCCATTTAAGTCTGACGTAAAAACTACTTTGCGCAACTCTCTTCCCATATATGAATCTTCAAAACACCTTGCCAATATTTAATTAACATATGCAACCCTCAGACAAGAATTAGAATCACACTTACTTAAATAAACAAAACAAACAATCAAAAAACACACCAGAAGTTTATCATGCTTTTGTTTTTTCTAATCAAAATTAAGACAAGAAACTTGCATAAAAAAATTTCATCAAAACCAAAAAAACCTCAAAGCCCCTGAAAATTAAAAAAAAAAAAAATCAAAAAAAACCCCCAAACTAACATAAAACCAGTGACTAGAACCCTTATCTTCACATTCTAATTTGTGTGCTTTTACTAGAAAATTAGTGTTGTTTTTTAGAAATACTGTATTGTTTCCTACCAAAAACGTCCCTTTAAAAAAATTAAAAACAAAACACCTCAATATTTCTGGTAATCCCCCAAAAGCAGTTCAGTGTACATATGTTTTAAAGTGGTAGAGGTTACTGGAGCCACAGTTGTCTTCCCTAAACATGTTGTCCTTACTCTTATTACCCCTATTATGTCTATTCCTAACAGTGAATTTGAAGTTGGCAAAGAATTTCCATCCCCCCCAAACTTTAAAATCTCCAAGAACCTCTCTGAAAGGGCAGCAAGACAATGTGATCTCAGCTCTAACAACCACTGATGTGCTGTCTGCATGTATTAGGCATCTGAAAAGCAGATTTAGAGATGGGAGTTCAACCACCTCCACAGGTAAGATGGGTGGGCAGTAAAATTGAAGATGAAAACAAGGATATGAGTAAAAGGAAAGACTTGGGAAAAAAAAAAAGAATTTTGTACTACAAAAAAGTGTTTGACCACAACTGCATCTTAGAATTTGCTGCAAGAAAGAAAAGCAGACACACTGTGATTTTTCTACCAACTCAGGAGTTTTCTATCATCTTCCCACTACTTAGGGAAACACACACCTGAAAAATATTAAGACATCAGAATAAATTATGCTGAACTTCAATCTTAGGTAGCATCTCAGATCCACCAAAGGGCTCAGAACAAGTTAGGGCCTTGCTCTGTACCACCATGTTGGAGAACTTCCTCCATCTCCACCCATAACAGATTAAAGACCTACCTGGGAGTGAAGATACTTGATAACCTCCCTCCTCTAACACCCAAGCAATCAAGCAACCTTTGACAAGACTGGAAAGAAGCATTAATATGAGGGTCCTTGCCACCTTAATATACTTTGTACAAACAACTGTTTTTCCCCCAAACAGGACCATCATGTCAACAACAGAAATGGAACATTTGAAATAGAAACATATGTACAAAACATTCTTATTCAATCACCACTTGACTCCAACTCTCTCCTAAAACTCAATGCAAAATAGTTCACAGTGGATTTTGTGTTTTATTTCACTTTTTCAAAGATTTGCATTTAGACTAAACCTACTGGTATTGCTTTGCGTTGACTTAAGGCCAAACTGGATATTTATTTTAGTCTTATTAGGCATTTATTTCAATCCTTTAGTAAAAATACGTATTTTTCAAGTTTCCTCTCTTTTCTGTGGTTTTGTTTGGAGTGTTTGTGGTATACCTGCATATTCCTCAGACCCTGAAGACTTCGAATTATTGTCAGCTAATCTCCACAAGCAGGATCAATGTCTTCAACGAGGCAAAGAAAATACCACATGAATAATACCCACATTTCAAAACTGAACTGATTCACAATAGTACATACTTTTTCCCTAAGCCACCATTTAACTTGTTGCAGTCCTATGTACGAGGTGTCTCACACCAGACAAAAACCTCTTCTAGGCATGGTTAGTATAACAGGTTACTGAAATTCATTATACAATGAAAATAATGTTAATAAAAAGCAACTACAACATAGTAATTGAAACGAAGAAAAATGAACCAAGTAAGTTAGATTAATATCAAGAAAGAGCAGAAAAACTTCAAGAGGTTCTGAAGGCTCAGACAAACTTACATGACAAATTTCTGAATCATTTTCCACACTTGTATCCCTTTTCTGTTAAAGAAAAGCTTTGCCATCTATATATACATCAGGGTCGTTGCTTCCAATGAGTTAATCTGTTCTCATGGCTGATTTCTGCCTCTAAATTGAACAAGGATTAAGGCCACTTCTACCATCCTTTGGCAGAATCTATTACACACTCTCTCTCTCTCTCTATATATATAAGGAGAGACTATATCTTACAAAGAAGTCACCTACAGAGAAACAGCTCAACTACTAAATCTAACTTTTACAAAGGCCTGATAGTTTTCAAGTTCTACAATTTTAATATTTAGAGATGTATTAGCTACAGAGACTCTTTAAAAGGCTATTTGACCTTTCCTTGTTATTCCTAAAGTGTGAAATGTTTATTCTTGATTATTTATTCATTAGAGGAGAAAGCAAGAGAAGCCAATTTTATGTCATACGCTTTGAAGCTAATCTTTACAACCATGAAGAGCCTGGGAGTTTGTAGCTTTCATTTCAGACAGTTGCAAATGAAAATCTGTATCTAGGCATTCATATCATGTTCATCACACTACTATCTGGGCAGCTAACCTAATTATATTATTCCAGCTGATACTGTAAATATTGGCACTCTCTAGTATTACTTTTCCAATTCAAGCTGCATCAGCTATTATAACAAAGTTATGGAAATACTTTAGTGAGGAGATGCATCTTACATTTAGTTTCAACAATACATGTCACTGTCACAGGCATGTGATCACAGACTCAGGTGATGAACTGAACAAACATTTAAAGAGCAAAGTCAATTCTCATGTAATTTTCATAGTAGTATCCAAGAATAACATTTAGAGTTCAGTAAGTGGGTTCATCTCAAACACACAGACAAGGAATGACAACCAGAGGACTCACTATGGTGTTACAGTAATACTTCAAGGAAATACTCTGGTAATAGAGTAATTACAGATTCCTCACGCACTAGTTCATTTTTTTGTTATTTGGTCCAATTTGTCTTCAGCAATATTGGTTAAATAATGTTTTCAATTTTCAGATCCTTTCTTTGCCAGTGGCCAGAACTGAGCAGAACTTTTATAACAAACAGACCGTGGTTTAGTTAATGCAGCACTTGCCGAGTTGTTCTGCTTCTAAAAGCCTGATCAAATGAGGAATTGTACTGTACATGGATGACCAAGGAAGAACAAAAAGTGACATTCCCTTCCTTCCTTCATTCTGGTTACAGAAATCTTGCCAAAGCCTCCAGCACTTGAATTTAAATATTTAAAACATGATAGTTACTCTCTGCCCTAACTAAGTCTATTCGTACTAACGTTATATTCACAGCAGGAATGCAATGTGAAAGCTGTGTTTACCATACAGGAGGTTACCTTCCCAATTACTATTCAAGCATTCCACTAAGATTCCTGCTCAGGCGGTATGTGGACGTGCATGTGGGTCTGTTTTCAATTGAACTGGATGGAGAACAATTCTACCTGATAAATTAAAAGAAATAAAGTTAATGACCTGGCAGCAGCAATGCTTAAGCAAACAAGTTATGCAAACATAAACCAGCCATTCTTTGCTTTAAGGAGTTATCATAAAGTTTAAACAAAGAGGCATTTGGATGAAATTTTCTGATTACTATAGCAATGTCCATTAACTTAGTTTCAAACTGATCTTGAACCCCAGGGTACATAAACCCAAGAACACAACACCTGATCCCTGGAGCTGCAACTGTTCAACAGGAAAGACTTTACCTACTAAGCCTCAGAATAACGTGTGTCTTCTTGTTCAGTTGCATCCGAATCGTGGTTCAAGTCAACTTGAAACCTTTCTCTTCCTGTACACTGAATCATTGTTTAGAGTAACCACTTTAGACAGCTCCAGGACTCCTTTACAAATTATAAATGCAAGACATTTAGCCCTACCAATACAATAGCTGGCATGTTCTGTAGAGGAAGTATCAGAACCTGCCCTTGAGAGGATAACACCACTCAATGTTTATCAGGTCTTGTCTTTTCTTTCAGACCCCACTCTAGCTTCAACCTATGAAAACAGATTCAAGAACACCATCCCAATATTTCTCATCTGACCCTGACTGATGCTGGTTTCAAACACCAGAGGTTTTAAGTCACCATGTACTCGAGGGGATGAAAGCATACACAACCACATTGTTACTCAAAATTGCAACAGCAGCTGAGAAAATGGAGAGAGAAAAAAGTTTCTTTAATCTATGGTTTAAGTGGAAAAGATCAGCCAAGAGCAAACCCAGACTAGAAAGGAAGCTAGAGATGGAGAAAAAGGAAATAGGCAGGAGAAAAAGTAAAGTGAGCAGATAAAGGAAGTTAAAACAATAGAAAAAAAAAATCTAGGTGCCAGGTGTCATGTTAATAACTTATTACGTTTAGTTTTCTTTTCAACTTTGTTTTGGAGTCACAAACCTAAATATTTGTTTATCCACAAATGTGTTGCCATACCAGAGACAAACTGCTCACTGATATACAGGAACATATTTCACTTTTTCCACGGGTGTCATGCTTTTGCACTGGGATACGGAGCTTCTTCCATTTGACCCAGCACATTCCAAAAGAGCTACAGAACACTGAGCATCATAGACTGTGCATGGAAGTCACATCTGCCAGCAGCCTAAAGGAGACAGGAGAGGACACTAACATGGCACACTAGTGAGGAGAACGCTGACATACAGGGGAGAGCACATGCAGTCACTTGTGGAACTGTTACACTGCAGTGCCAGGACCAACCTCAGAACAACTCTACCTGTACCATTTTCCTGTTAGTACAATGGTTCCCGCTTCTTCAGCTCAGTTCCTTTCCCACCTTTTATTTCCGTAAGAACTTTCTTCATCTTTTCTAACAGATCTCATGGGACAGGTTATTAACTGAAACCTAGACACAAAAAACGTAATTTATCTAAGAAAATCAGTCATTATATCTAATCAAAGTATGACATTCATCTCACACAGTACTTTCATCTACTCAGAGTCAAGATGATGCTGTATCATTTTTTCATTTTGAGCCCATCTGAACCATGTACCAGTTTTGAGGCAATAACTCTCTAACCGTTAAGGCAAAATTACCTGCATGGGAGTGGCACAAAATACACACTTCAAACTATCTCACACATTAACCACTACCAGTCAGCATTGCAGATAAGCACAAGCAAGTACTGTCAGGGAACTACTCCAGAAGTTAAAATCTACTTTGGAGACCGTATTGTTTCCAGAAATGCTGCACTTCCACGTGAAGCCTTGATCCTAACAGTCATTTCAAGACGGTTTCAGTGGACAGAAGCAAGGCAGAAGTTACAATTCTCTTCCTTTTCAGATTCGCTGTAGGAAAAAAACTTGTATACCATAGGTAATTTTTCTCATCCATTAGATGCAATCTGCATCCCAACTGTTTCTATCTGGCAGGGAGCACAGGGCACATCTAGACCTCCAAAAAAAAGCCGTGGATGAATTTCAGTATTTGAAGAGTTAATTGGTCAGCACGGACTAGGCCACTGCTCTGCCTACAGAGATCACATTAGACACACAAGCTCCAAAAATACAGTGTATGGTTTGGATTAGCACTGCTCAGGTTGGCTGCTCTCCCCTGGCTTCCTTCCCTTCTGCTCCGACCAAGCACAAAAAATTTGAAAACCTCACGATATGTATCAAGATCCTTTTCTATTAGTATTATCTCTGGTCCTAAATAAAACTTAAGGCACAAAGTCCTTTATCTTGCTCACTCCCTTTTTTATGGTACCTACATGATACTTACTAAAAATTGCCAGCAACTAAATTGCCAAGAACTAAAACACTATACTTCAAGAACAGGTAGCAAAAGAATGGCAACATAGAAATCTCTTCCTGAGCATTTTTATTCCTGAGGGTTTTTTTTTTAAAGTCTAAAGTTAGCTAGATTTTTTTAATGGGTTTTTAATAAAAAAAATAAAATTGATTCTGTGCTTCGTGGTCTTGAGGTTTTGGGGGTTTGGGTTTTTTTTTTAAGTGTGAACTAAAACAGAAATAAAAAACAAAACCAAAAAAACCACACAGTAAAAAGTTACACAACCATACTTGAAAATGAGGGAACTGATCTTTAGAAAAAGATCAGCATCTGCTATTCTTATTCTGTTAAGAGACTGAGCCAAAAGATTTGAGAAGTTTTTATTGCCAGATCTAAATTTCATTCCACAGGCACTGGATCAGGTCTTTAATCCTTTACTTAACCACAAGGAACTGTGCTGAGGAGTTTAGTTCTTCCAAAACAACTGATAATATCCTAAATGTTGAAAGCGAAGTACTTTCCAGTATAAGCCAAATCCTGCATGTTTTGCTTTTAAGTAATGCCATAGCAGATGCAAAACCAGTAGGATTCACACTGATGTTTTCTAGGAAAGGAGAAAATCTCCAAAAAACACAGCCCATGCTTTAGAAGAGGCAGACGAATAAAGAAACAGTTTAATTCTTGTAGTGAATTAAACCGCATGTATAACATTATGCTTATTTTTTTAATTTATTGATTTAGGATTTAGAATTCTTTTATTTTTTCACCCACATATTTTAACATGTACTGTGAACTGCCATTTCACAATTTTATCACTTAGATTTAGTTGATTCCCCCCCAACCCAATTTTCTGAACTATTCTTCTTTACAGCATTTCAATGAAAAGAAAAACATTCAAGGCAAGCAAGACTCCTTCCCCAGCTGAGGAACTGTAGCATTTTAAAGGCTGTTTGTGTCAGCATTGGGCAAAAATAATCCAAGCAGCACTGGAAAAAACAGATGTAGAAACAGTATTCAGACATACTCTCAGAAAATTCAGCAAGGGTTCTGTCTATTTGCAAGGCAAAATACAGTCGACATTGACTGAAATTTGGAAGGAATATATCAGGAGGCCCAAAGAACTCAAAAAGATAGAAGTAAAAACTTGTTTAAGATTTCACCATCTAAGTCCACATACAAATGTCTTTGTGATCCAATTCAATGGGGTTTGATCCAACTTAATTTTCTGAGATTTAAATGCCCAGTCACAAAGCTTAACTGTGCAATTCTGATTGTGCAAAAGTCCTTAAATAAGCTAAAGTTAGTTCTCACTACATGTATATACTAAAGCTCACTAATCACAGGTCTTGGGATAGACTGAAGTACTCACATGGACAAAAGCTGATCTCTCTGTTATGATTTTAATAGCTACACTAGTTTGAAGGAAATAGTCTTGCAAATACAATTTGAGTTATTCTATCAGACAGCGGAGAATTTTTTTGTTGTACGAGCCAGAAAAACTACAAAATCTTTGCCAAAACAAAGTCCAAGTTATCTAGACAACAAAAAAAATACTAGAAAACATCTCTTTTCATATGGTGAAAGTGTATGAAGCTATGAAGCTTCCCAGTATCACACTTACAAAACAATGCTTCTTAGAAGTTCATGAAGTCAATATAATTTGACAGCAAATAGGCCCCTGCCAAACAGAATTCACTGCTGGTTTAAACCAACACTCTCATTTACTAGGAGACTTGACTAGATAAACAGAAGCAAGTTTCTCACATTTTTCATATTTGACATCTCACATGACCTCTTGAAAGCTCACCAAAGTACTGAAACACCCGGATGACTGTTCTCCAACTACAAGGGAAGCATTTCATAAAGGTGTTTGCAACTTTTGAGACTGAAATGCTCAACACTAATAATGGCAATTGGCTACTGCAAACCTCTGGGATGGTGAAGTTTACCCAGTATGAATATTTCTCTTTCCCTTTAATGACAACAGCTCAAGCACACGTAGCAGATCAAAAACCTGACAACGTCTCAAGAGGCACTTCCCAAGGTCAGTCCAAAGACTGGACGTCCACATGATTTATTACACAAGAAATAACTTCGTACCGTACAACACAAGATACATTATTCAGCTGCAGCATGCAGCAAAATTCCCCACATGATCCCCTACAGAAAAACATGAACATAACTGCTCAGCATTAACACAGATACTCAGCCTTCAAGACACTCCCAACTTCTGACACACAGTACAAAGTGGCAGCACACTGTACTTTATGTGGGCTCCAACATAGCTCCGAACCCCCACCAGCCACTCAGCTTGCACCAACTTGCTCCAGCATTTGTCAGCAATTACATTAAACAGGACAGACAGGAACCTGACTATAAAGAAAGAACGAAAGTTTCTACTTCTTAGAATTCCTGAAAAAAACCCAAACGCAATAGTGGCCTTTGTACTCGGCTGCCACGGACGTGCCCTGTGGTTTCTGCAGCCCCTGATCACAGGGAAGGCAATGCTGAGTGGACACTTTCAGGATGGGCAGATTTATATCCATTAGCTGTGTACATCTACCTCTGCCTCCTCACTCAATTCAGACTTGACCTCTTCCATGATCTTGCACAACTCTTAAGACAGAGTGAATCTTACTAACCAATCTGGGATATTTTCTATGCCCTAAAGCATCTTTAAAGCATATTAACATATTATGTGTTTTATCCAATCAGCCAGTATTTCTAATGTGCTTGCAACTGTGAAATCCAAAGGTAGAATCATTAACACCATGATTTCCCCCTCTCACCTGGATCAGGAAGGCAAAGATACCTTTGCTCGACTTAAAAAAAAAAAAAAACAAACACCAAAAAACCAACAAACCACACAACACTTTCCTTTTTCATTTAAAAAGTGTGCTATAAAAAGACACAGCACCACTAAAATTTGACATTCATCCTCACTTAAACTAAAATCATTACAGTAGATATACCTAAGACATCAGTAAAATCAAAACCTATCAATAAAATAAAGCTAAATTGAAAAAAATCCTTATTCTTCAAACTCCAGAAACTTTTATAAAAGCAGAAATAAAAGTGTCACAAGTTGTTACAGTTTATGAGCTGAAAGACTGTAGAGATTGAAAGACCACTGAAATAATCTTAAAGGACACTCAGAATTCTGCCAGCACTACATTTTTGCTGCAGAAATCCTAGGTTCATTCTCTTCAAGGTGGATTTCAAGTGCTAGGAAGCAAACAGTACTAACTCAATTGGATAGTGAACTGTTTGCTGTGTCAAAGCTTTTTGCCCAACACATATATATAATTTTTCTTTTCACTATATGGATAATCAACCCCAGATGGCAATTTACATAGGCAAAGCATAAAGGAATCCACGCACTGCTGGTGCTCTCAGCCTCAATCAGAGCAAGTATGGGCGTTTGAGAATGTCACTGTTTATTTTTAATTGCTGTGTCCCTCCTTTGTGCAGGTTCAAGCGGTCAAAGATGTCGAAGTCCATTAGTAGAACTGGAAGGTGATGCCACTTCATTTGGTGAGAGGGTTCTTCAAATTTAAAAAAAGCAGCTGGTTTGTAATGTCCCCAAATGCCCAGCGGGTACCAGCTGTCAATCTCAGTTACCACTGGGTCAGGGCAAAAAAAGGTCAGAGAGAGTCATAAACCACAATGTGTTGTGAAATGTGCTTCCTCCGTTACCTTGTAGGCCTGAGAAAGGTTTGACCTTTTATAGGTATCCTAACCCAGCTCTGCATGATGCTGGCAGGGGTAAGTACAACACACAGCTCAAACTTACAAAAGTTGCTTCCCTTTACTGTGCTCTTGGGTTCCATACCTGTACAACATGAACATGAATATTCAAAAGTGGCAAAAACCCAAAACTTTGCCCACCACTATTATCACTCAGAGGTATGAACATATCTATTTCACACACAGCAGTGGAAGGATTAATTCATTAACAGCAAATGTAAAAATAACTAAAACTTTGAGGGAAGTTGTTAATGCCGTAACAGCCTAGCAGTCTGGCTTCTCTTTGCAAACGACCTGTTTATCTGCTAAGTTGGCTGTCACTTCAGTGACTACTCTCCCAGTCATTTGGGTGGGAAGAAAGC